GAACCGTCGCATTGCCTCCACAACGGACCACGCAGGAGTTGTTCAGGACCGACACAGAGACCAGACTAACGTTCGGCAGGCGTTGTTTCGGGAAAAATACTTGACAAGTTAGAAATAGCTGTTGAAAAGTACTCCGCCGATTTTTGTAGGTTTCTTCGGTTTACATCACTCACCAGCTGCGCATAGCAGTCGGGAAGTTGAAGGACGATTTTCTATAAAAAGGTCCTAGGGACCTCCGTAAAGGGAACCTTCCTTGTAAAATCACCATAATTTCAGTACTCAAACCATCCTTTTGCTGTCCTACATTCAAATCCCGACGAGGTCGCTGAATTTTCACAGTTCAGTCGGGATAAATTGTCCAAAACATGCCAAAACACCTTTTGTGACTAAGGGGTCCTCATCAATCTTGTTATATAACCCGCTCGTCCCGTTGTGCCTTAGGGCTCTCTCTAGGACCAGACTAGCATCCGCACAGCGGTGCGTGATATGGATAGAGTAATATTACTGACAAAAACAAGGGAGGCTGGAATTACCGTTTCTGGCATATTAGCCGTCGTCAGCCAGTCATATCCAACCCCGAGATTGGGACACCCCGGAGGCTCGATCCCGCGACTTGTTGGCTAAAACACCAATTAGTTAGGACTACCGTTTGTGGCCTATTAGACATCGTCAGCCAGTCCTACCCAACCCCACGTTTGGGTAATCCAGGGATCGAACCCAGGCCCTTTAGTAGTTGAAGGCTAAGCAGTTCATTATCTTACCACTGGACCAAAATCTCTCTGTCTTGTTAGTTGCAATCGGAAGCTAGCGTACGACATGCCTTATTTTGAGTCTGCGCCTACAACAAATAACACACATGGGGTGCAATGGCGCGCCTACGCGCAGTCTCACGCTGCGTCTGTCGCCTGGTCTCAATCCTCACATCAGGTGGCTGATCGGCCTGGACATTGGACTCGTTCCTGGTAGAGGGAGAGGAGCGTTAGGTCGACCATGGAGGCTGTGCCCTCAAGTCACTCTGCGCGTATTCTCCATTATAAACAGGTTGATGAGCTTTTAAACTTTCACTGTGCGTTAAAAGCCAACTGATGGGATGACTCGATCCTCCTTTCGGGATGGTCCGTCAAGCCACAATATTGCTCACTCAGGTGGCCTCTATAGCACCCTATGTACCCCTTTGTTGTTTCTGTGATAACCTGACTCAATGTACTCGGACCAGGCGTCTGTGACACATTCAGACGGTCTGTTCAGATCTGTCAGCTATTGTGCCTAATCCTGCTCTCGGTCATCATGACTCTGTTTTAATGCCGGACCCAGGTGGGTGGGGGAGGAGAAAGTTTTCAGTGGAACATAATAAATATTAAGAACTCAAACAGTATGTTAAAGTCCAAGAGTAGATTGATTAAGTAATCAGCTGAACCCTGAAGGTTCTATTCGACCGCCTATATCCCCTTCCATCACCGCGTAGTCCCGTTTAATGGCGAAGTCATGTGTTGGCAGAATTCTGCATTTATGACTGGTAATAAAATAATTCCTCGTGTTTTATCCACATTGTATGCCGCAGTGAAATCTCCAAACCCTAAGAGGGTCCGGATTTGTTTCACATTTACCGCGCTTAGACATTTGCGATATCGTAATGAGCCGACAAGTGCTACGCAGTGCTACGTTGAGCACTGCGTTAGGTCATGCTTTCTTATATTAATCGCGTTCTTTTCTTGTCTGTTACTTTCAAAGATTGGTTTGCTAATCGGAGAAGTAAAATATTGCCAAGATAGAACGTAAAGACTTTTTTCATCTACTACGTATAAATGTCTACCAACTGCGTTGATGCGGAAACCGGTTAAGAACTAGGTTCCTTCGGATGTTGTGTAAAGCATCCACCAGAACGCGTGTTTCAACTAAAGAGCCTATACTGAAATTGAGACAGTTTTAACTATTATACGAGGTCGGGGAATCCAAATCCGCTTTTTGTGGAAACCTGTGTCTTCTTTGTTCTGGTTAGCATGACAACGTCGTCAAACATTTCCATTTTCTTCCCACCTACTAGTGCCTCTCGTTCTTTTAATAAAATAAGCAGATACGATTTTTATAAATATACACTACAAGGTAGTTATAAACCCTCATCAAATGCACTAGCTGGAAGCCCAGATAAGCGTGCCACAGGTTGTGTTCTCTGGCGTAAAGCAGATACGAGGGCCCCACTCATCAAATGATCCCCAACATCCCTCACTTCATTCTTAATAGACAGTAAACAGTACATTATCGGCGAAGAATGTGTATGAGATTTTTGTTACCATCCGATTAATCAGTCACAATGTTAATGTACCCCTACATGCTACTAACTTCAGCCGGCGATTTGCGGATAATACGCAGATATTCCGCTGCTGCTGATAAAATTCAAATGCAGTATTTTTGATAATCTTCGATGCATACCTAAGAAACCTGTCCCGAAGTCTGCATCCCAAATTCACATACAAGTTTCTGATGGAATTAAAAAACTGAGCGCTGTATTTTTTGTTACACTATAAAACAAAGCAAGCCAAATAAAGGAAGTGTTGCCATTTAGAATCACTATGTCCGAAGTTAGGTTCTTATGTAGGTATACAGTCAGAAAGCGAATTAAAACTGTTATCTAACTATTCTGTTCTGCATGTTCACTGAAAATTCTGTGATATCTCAAGTATTTGTCCATTTTCATACTTCTCTATAACTTTTTAAATCTCCCGTAATATGTTTAAACTGGAATTTTCACTAGTATCACGGGCCTAATGCATTTTGGAACTCCTCCGTATGCGCCTACCTGTATTGGAAAGGAGCGCAAAGTACCGTAGGTTTGTCTGCCATTTATGCTTGATGAGTTCTGGTCAGTCACTTATGTCAAATCATCCGGTTTCTTGAACCTGAGCTGTTAACCGGTTGAGGAAAGCTCAAGTGCACGCCTGACTGTGCTTCCTGACAGTGCCTATTCCATAGTCAACCCTCTTGTTCTCCCAGGGGACTTTCACTTTCGATGAAGACCAGCAAAATCTGCAGTCCTGCTTTTGCGTTCAGTATTTGCCCTAACTCCTTTTCATTGCATGCTTTTAAATTGGGCAATATTGTTTTTACAATTCACTGGCAATAAAAGCCTTGGTAGCTTGGAATCTCTTGAACCGATAATGCGTGAAATAAGAACGAAATAGGCATTCTCGTGTTTCGCTGAAGTCGAGATTCCCCTGCCTCTGTGGAGGATCGCATTCCAACCAGCAGTCACTAATCGAAGTCTTATCTTCACTGTCAGAGGCATTGTATGGCCACCTCAGGCATACTTGCCGTCATCAGCAGATGATGCCCACTCTCAAGTCGCATATCTAAAATTTGGATCGAGTCAGCTGATCATCGAGCAATGTCTTCAACATTGTTCAAACGGCCCCACGTCAAGCGGTCTGATTGAGGTTCGAATCTTGGCGAGATATCACTTGTCAGTGCTAGCAAACAAATCGGTCACTTGTGTTTATCACTGGAGCTTCTTTAATAACCCTTTGCATTAGCATTTTAGTCAAAGTTATCCTCAGCAGTTAGGTTAGCTCAATTAATTTTGGCGCATATAGACAAGAATGGTTAAAGCTATGTTTCTTGTTCCTCATATGCTATCACACACATTTCGTCGATTTTTCTTTATCGAAATTTCCTGTGTCTCTCCAACCCCGTCGTTGCGTTTGGAAAGGGACCGTTATCGCTGCTGTTGGTTATTTAGCAGACTTTTGACGACGCTATTTCATCAAGTTCTATCTTTGGGTAATTCACTTTCAAAGTTTCATTTGTTACCTGTCCTATTAAATAAAGAGCTTTTGCGGGCATTTTTATTTTATTTTTTGCTGAAAAAGATACATTTAGTGCATGACCTTCTCAGTTTCGGTATCCGTGTTTCTGCCCCTTGGGGATTGATTCGAAGGGACTTTATCTTTTCGTAAAGCCGCCGGCAATAAGCATCATTTGATCATACTTTGATGGCGGTGTTACTACTATATCCGCCGTTTGTTTTTTAGATATTCATAGCAAATGCCTTTCCTTTGACACGTACACTTAGGTACTTATGCATGTAGGCGATGATTTGCAACAATGTGTGATGTGACTATGACAAAATCTTTTAAAGTGTGCTTATGTCAGCGTATTATTTCGAAAAAGCGTTTAGATCATTAAACTCTAACTGGAATAAATTTTTATTTCACTCTGAAATTTATTTCGTTAAGCCAACCACGGACATTTTAGATTAACAACTGTTGAGGTAGCCAACGTGACCAAGCTTTTACTTCACCTCTCTTTGCCGCCTTTTAGATTATAGACAAGCTTGACTGCAACAACAAATAAATGCAATCCCTAGTGATAAATACTTCAATTACATGATCAGACGCGCTACGAACACTATTGCACGTTATTCTTTACCTTCCGCAAATGGTATTGCCATTTTAGTTAGACTGGACAACAGAAATGAATTTTTGCCGACAGATGCCACAGGCGTTTCTTTGACTACTTTAATAGACCCATCAGCACATAAGTATCGTTTCAATCAACTTGATACGCATTCCGCGATCGCGTAACTAGGCGGTAAAACCAGCACAGATGATGCCGACAAGCGCCTCCTTAAAGTCGTCATTCCATCTAATTTAGCTCGAACTGTTCCTCCCCTGGTCTCCTCGTCTGCTTCAAGTTCTTATTTATCTCCAGTCCACTTTTTCCACTAACCGATCTCCGCAACACTTTGGGCGTATTTTTGCCTAACACATTTCACGTTACATTGTATTTCAAAGTGTTGTAGCGGTTTTCTTCATTTTCTATTGTCAGGAAGCGGAGCAGGAATCATTAAAGGAAGATATCCCAGCAACTACCTCTGGCATGCTGTTGCCACCTGGTTGAGCGGGTCACTGACCCAGCCCCCCAGTCTTGACTCCTCTCCCAGTCGACCGCTGCAGGATTCCCTACTCAGCCAATTTCTCGTGGCGCTACTTTGCATTTCTGTGATAATGTTTGGACTGGTGGGCGTGGTCCGTCTTCTTAGCTGCATCTTCCGCCTATTCTTTCTCGAACCGCGGACGCTCGAACAGTTGGCAACCACGGCTTCAGGAGGCGTCCAACACATCCGCCTGCTTTCCCCCTGTCCGCCGCCATCCGTCTATTTCAGCGCAGAGTTCGGCTTCCGTTCAGTTTGGGCAGAAGCCCCTCGCCTCTCCAGTTCCTTGCCCCACGCTCAGTCTGTCGTATCCACCATCACGGCCACCCCTGCCCCCTCAACCTCAGAACAAATATCGCCTGTCCGCATTGTTGGTACCGTACTGTCTGGTGGTAAGCCTGGCCAATACGTCCTCCTCTCCAACTCATCACCTTCCGGGACATACTGTTCCACTGATCGGCGGGGCCAAATTTCCGTAGCAGTGACAGAGATCCCCCCAACTTTGCCGTTTGTGAGTCGGGAGTCCGACGATCCAATAACCTGCTCCAGCAACAGTCATCTAAAACGATCTGAGCAAACTGTCCCATGACAATGGGCCACCTGGGTTACTGATATGTGGACGCTTATGGCTTACATGTGTGTCTATCAGTCCATATAATTCAAACACTCTCTCCAAAACTTGAATGCATTTAACCTTGTAAAAAATCCTGCTGTACCAATCCTTCCTTCTATTGCAAACTTTAATGAGTTTTTTAACAGGTTCTTCCCCACCAGTGCGCAGGGCTTTTTTATATCGCACTCTATGATGCTGCCTTTCGTTTTCATAACAACAGTGTTTAACTGTGCGGACATTTGCGTGGATGGGGAGGTGTGCCGCATTTAGGTCTTCGATGTGCACATGTAGGATTATATTGGCTTATCACCACTTTTAGTTTTTACCAGCCCTTTGTCCCACTTGCCCCGTTAGATTCGAAAATAGCGCTACCGTTCGTTTTACAGCAGACAGTCAGATAAGCTGGTTTTATGCTCTTGGATTGCGTAACGTTGTTTGCTTCTGGCGTTTTGGCCGAATTCTCCTGGATGTCTTTTCATCACTCGTTCCACCGCTCTTGGGTCAAAATTCCTGCATTTATGTAGCCAGAACGCAATCGTTTCGAGAGAATGGGGTTTACCATCTGCATGATTTTAACACTAGAACGAAGTAGAATATCTAACATACCCTTCTAGGCATGCAGGTTCATACAGGAGCCCATGGTCGTGGATAATAAGGAAAAAAACAAGTCAGCATTTGTCCTCGATTAAAAATGGAGGTTCCACCATCAAGCAATAAATAGTGAACATACAACATTTGAAAGACAGGTCAATTCGCTTGTCTATGTAGTTACTATGGGATATTTAGGCCTCAAGATACCAGTCTGCCAGCCTGTCCACAACAACGCCGCCGTTTCTTTGAAGTCTAAATCATGTTCTACCCTGGCAATATGAGAAACGATTTGTAACAGCGGGCCAGTTCTTGATAGCATCGGTTTGTGCTCGCGTACCTCATAGAGTCTGCTCTTATGAGCCGATCTGCTGAGAGATCACCACGCATACGCACGGGAGTGCGATCGTCGTCTCCGACTATGTCCACCGTGTACCCCACGGCAAGGTGACGCAGAAACGGTCACTTTCGCGTGAATTAGTTTGTACTGGTAGTGGACATGCGTAGCATCTACCGCACTCTCTCATCCTCACTCCCTGCCTGGACCCGGTGTCAAGACATAATCCAAAGGAACGCAGGTGGGAAGGACGCAAGTGGATGGCACGGTCAAGCCCGAATCTTGGCGCTCAACTCCACACTCCTTGGTCCGCAGGCAAATGACCAGACTTTGACCAAGAACAACAATAGCAACACCCCAGGAGAGATCAGAAGAACGAGGACAAATGGGTAGCCATGTCTACCTCTTGTATATCCAGCGGAAACGCAAGCGCATCTACCGGCAGGGAACCAGGTATCCGGGAACTGCCAGCGCATAGCAGGCCGCGAGGGCCATAGTTTGCTGATACTGGCATAGCACACGCTTTCAGACCCTTTGACTTAGAAGGTCGAAATGTGGCCCTGCACTTAGTCTAGGCCGTCGACCTTCAAGGTAGGGTAACAAAACTGTTGTCGGCTGAGGGACACTACCCACAAGGCACACACACGAACAGAAACGCTCCTCACATACATAAATGTCACAGATCGCATGAGAAGCGGCTGTGACAGTGTGGCTCTTAGTTCACCACACCACACAACAAGTGGACAGACTGCGTGGACTGAGTTGGGACGTCCGTCTGCTGCCTTACGAGCCACGGCGTTCGACGCACCGTCTTCGTCTCAAATTCCGATCACACATGCAGCAGAGGAGCCGCATGGTGAAGTGACAGAGATACACTTTCCCCCCCCCTGCGTAGGAGGTGGCAGTTGGGTGCTCTCCATAGGTGATGTTGATGCGCGGTGAGACGGTGGTGAGGGAAGATGTGATGGTGTGGTGTGGCCGGCGGTTGTCTACAGTAGGTTTTCGTGGACGCGCATGTGGCCTAATAGACCATGCGGTGAATAAATGTGACAGTGTAATGTGGACAGTAGAGGCGGACGAGGCGATTGTAGACTGGTGCTGCAGGCACTGGTTCACCAGTCTCTGTGCGATGGATTTGCAAGTGTCCGACCAGGTCGATGTGTGAGGTAAAGGTGCGATAGAAATGAGAACAAGTATAAACCCGATCCTCGTCACAGGTGTTGACGGTGGTAGTGTTGGTGTTTGTTGGCATGTCAGGATTGTTTATAGTGACGATGGCCATGGCAGACGCCACAGCGGCAGACATTGAGGCGGTGAAAGAGGGGGAGGGGAGGGGAGAAGGATGGTAGTGGTGGTTTGGGAGGACAATCAACGTTAGTTGACGGCGTGAGAGGCGAGGAAGAAGTGGACGGAGAGACGGTGGTTGGTGCAGTCCGGGTGCCGCAGTTGGTCCGGAGGTGTCCAGCAAATCCAATTGGCGCCCGGGATGTCCGTTGACATCATGGACACGTTGGAGGCGGTTGGGCTTGGGCGTTGTGAGGCGGCAGCGGCGTCAGTGGAGATTTGCGTGTCTCTAGTTTGGCTTTGACGGCGGTGATGCGGTTGGCTTCGAAGATTGTTACGCCTCTCATTACTGTTCTTCACGTAGGTCAGTCCAAATTTGTAGGGTTGATCTGCAGGCACTTCAGGAAGGCTTTCAGAGTATCCTTATAGCGACGGACTTGACCTCCTTGTCTGCGTGAACCCGTCGCGACATATCCATAGAAGAGTAGTTTGGGTAGTCTCTCGTCGTCCATCCGTACTAGGTGGCCGCTCCAATGTAGCTGCAATTGTCTTAGCATAGCGTAGACGTTGAGGATTCCCGTTCGCTCCAGTACGTCCGTGTCTGGGATCCGGTCCTGCCAACTCAGCTTCAGTATTCGCGAAGACAACTGAAATAGAAGTGGTTCAGTCTACGTGCCTGCTTCATGTACACTGGCCAGGTCTCTGTTCCATACAGCAACAACGGTCTTGTACATCTTCAGTTTCGTGCTGAGTTGAAGACTGTGACGATTCCAAACTGTGTTTTGAAGACGACCGAAGGCTTGACTGGCCTTTGACATTCGGTGGGCCATTTCATCATCGAGTTTGGTTCTGCGGAAGATACGTGAAGTTGTCCACCACCAGCAGTTGGGTTCCATTTACGGTAATTTGCGGAGCATTGTGGGCAGTGTTGGATGGCGGTTAGTGCATGACCACCGGCTTCCCCGTGTTCATGATCAGACCGAAGTTCTCGCAGGCGGAGGAGAAAAGGTCCATGCTTCTTTGCAGGTCTCCTTCAGTAGTTTAGTTTAAGGTGCACTCATTGGCAAACAGAAGTTCGTGAACTGTGCTTGTGGATACGCACGATTGAAAGTGCATCCTCTGGTGGTTTAGTAGTTGAGCATCCGTCCTGTAGGCGATGCGGATCCCGGGGCGTTCGTCACAGTAGGCGTCCGTCAGCATGGTAGAGAACATGAGACTGAAGACGATAGGCGCGAGGACGCAGCCCTGCTTCCCTTCGTTGGTCACTGCGAACGCCTATGGGACAGCTCCACTGTCCGTGACTCGCACCATCATGCCGTCGTGAAGCTGACGCACCATTTGAATGAATCATTCGGGACAGCCCAATTTCTGCATGATTTTCCGCATGACTGTCTCCTGACACTTCTCCTGCATTTGGCGGGCAGCATAGATGATGTCCGTGGTTCCACGATGACGGCGGAAGCCGCACTGACTTTCCGGCAGGAGACCTTGCTCTGGGTCGTTGTTAAGACGGCCGAGAAGGATGCGAACGAAGGTTTTTCCAACGATGCCAGTAAAAAGATGCCTCGATGGTTGTCACAGAGCCGGCGATTATCTTTCCGCTTATAGTGATGGACGATCGTTGCGTCCTTGAAATCCTGCAGGAATTCTCCTTAGCGCTGCATCTTCTGGAAGAGTGCCGTCAGATGATCCATGAGTTGGGGACCACCGTACCTGTAGATCTCAGCAAGGATCGCGTCCGATCCGCGCGCTTTCCCGCTGGAGAGCTACTGTACGGCCCTGATGGTTTCGTGAAAAGAGTACGGGAGGTCGATGTCGGCGTTGGTCTCCAATTGAGGCAGACGGCGATGGCGGCGTTCGAGATGGTGGAGAGACGGTTGAGAACGCCTCGGAAGTGCATGGCCCATTGCTGTAGAATTTGTGTCCTCTCAGTGATTAGGGCACTGCCGTCGGCGCTGAGAAGAGGTGCAGTAGCTTTCATTGACGGATCGTAGAGGACTTTGGGTCGCGACAAAGACGTTTTTCCATTCTTTGCGTTCCGTGTACCCTTGGATATACTCTACTTCGCGAGCCGTCCACGCATCCTTCATTTCGCTCAACCGCTGAGATAGAAGGCTGCTTTGTTGTCGTCGGTGGGGCGAGTGACGTAGGCTTTGTGTAGACTGTTCTTCTCTGCGAGCCGGCTGCTGATGACGGCGTTGCTGTAGTCGAATCAATCCTGGTGTTGGCGACTTACGCAAACGAAGATGGCCAGGGTCGTCGACTGGACTGTGTCCCCCGATTGACACTATCGGTTCTCCACGGAGGCGTTGTCGTCAACGGCGGCGGCGACTGGAATGTTGGCCAGCCGTTGAACTAGCTCGATGTTGAAATGGAGATGGTAAGCAGGCAAAGACAACAAGGCAATATTCAGCTTATCTGGCTGTCACTTACCTTGAGGTTTCCTGCGAGGCTGCAGGCGAATCCGCATCTTCGAGATGACGAGGCGATGGTCGGTCCACCCGTTGGCACCCGGGACTGCCTTTGTCCCGCCGGTCCCGCTTCCGGACGAGGACATAGTCCAGCAGGTGCTAGAGTCGCGGCCGAGGGAGCATTCAGGTGGCCGTCTCTCGCATTGGGAGTCAGAAGAAGGTGTTCGTCAGGAGGAGTCGTGTTCTGTACAGGTTCGCAGAAGGAGCAGCCCACTGTCATTGGAGCCGTTGAGACCATGGGGACGCAACACTCCTCTCCAGGCAGCATGGTCTTTGCCGACGCGGGCGTTGAAGTCACCAAGGACAGTCAACTTATCTAAATTCAACACAGTTGCCAAGAGGGCATGCAGCTCTTCGTAGAATGTGTTACTTGGGGTGTCCGGGCGGGTCATCGTGGGAACGTAGGCGTTGACGATGGTGCGAATTTTCTTCCCGGACAGACAGGCGGAGGCTCCTCAGGCGATTGTTGGTGTCCTGCAGCAGACAGGGCAATCGCCCCACGATGTCGTTCCGGATGGCAAAGGCGACGCCCGCGTCTCGTCGCTTTGCCTTTGGGCGACCGCTCCAGAAGAAGGTGTAGTCGGCACCAACCTCCTCCAGTTGGCCCTGTTCGGAGAAGCGAGTCTCGTCTAGCACAGTGATACCCACCTTTTAGCGCGCTGGTTACCGAGCCGCTAGCGCCGTCCTCCGTTTCGGTCGGCTGCTCTTCGGATTGTCTTAAAGGAAACGAAAATCCCAGGCTGTCAGAGTTAGCGGACTCACCCTACCAGCCTGTGGGGTGGGACGGCGGGTGCGGGGGAAGATAAAGAGAGTGTTGGTTCTGGTTTGGTTGTTTCGACCGTGAGTTTTGCGTCTGCAGATCATGGTCAGCGTGCAGACGACGTGATTCCCAGTATTTGTTTAGGGCACCTTTTCCAGACCCTTTCCCCTCGCGGGGATGACTAGCGCTGCCCAGTTGTGTCAGGCGGCTGCCGAACTCCATTATGGGCTACGTCTCTGTTTAGCGAGAGAGCGACCCGAGTTAGCCTGGGACTGTCTACGACACCGCGTAAACTGAAGGGGGGAGGGTAGAGAGACGGGATGCACAGCTTTCCTGTCATTCTCTAGGTTAACTGGCTGTTGAAATATAAGCGGTGAGCAGACACAATCAACAGGACGACATTAAGCTTGCGGTAAGGACAGACATAAACAAACAGACAAAAGCAAGCAGGCAGAACAGCAAGAGCAAAAGCAACAGAGGAGATTCAACAAGGACAGACACGAAGGCAGCAAAAAGCAGGTAAACAAGAAAAAGTGAAGCAAAAGCAGCAGTGCAACGTTCGCTTGCCTGGAGGTTCACTTACCTTTTGGCCTCCCACGGTGTTTCAGACGGAGCCTCATCTCAGCGACACCGATGCGGTTATCCATCCGACCAACCAAGATTACCGTGTGAGAATATGCACACACGTATACCCTCACCTGGTTTAACTCACCGGTCGAGGCGGTTACCGGGGTGTGTCCGGTAGGCAGAGCCTAGCTTCGGGGAGCCACAAGTGGGAGTTGGGTGCTACAAGTTGACGCTAGGTGTTGTCTACACTTACAAGCAAGCGAGCGACCTATTACGTTCGTCACGTGAACACACCGCTGATCACCCGTGCACCCCTGGGAGGCGCAACACACACATAGACACGCTCTGTTCATCTGCATTCAGTTTGCCCATGATTCTTGCGGCCATTTTATGCGCGGTTGCTTCAAATCGATATAAGTTGTCAATGCCAAAATCTGGGGTTATTCCATCTGTTGCCTAGAAAACGCTTCTGGTATACAACACAGAGAGTTGACAGATCCGCTTGTCTCTTTTTTCTGACTGATCCGACTGCAGCCGTTCTCGGTGTGGTGACATGTGAGTTAGGTTTTCCACGTCTGTTCCGGACTCTCCTTGTATATTAACTTGCATTTGTGCAGTAGTTGAGAGTCTGCGTTGTCTTCATAGTCCACTGAGCAACAAATATCTTCCTGTATATTCCTTGCATGAAATGAATGTCAATGAAGAGTAGCTGTTTGTACCCATTCTTTTGAAGATGTCCTATCACACTCCATAATCGTTTGGCACCATGGTTTCCGCTGAGAATATCAAAAGCCCGCAAAAGCCTTGGACTTAGTTTTCGAAACGCGGAAAGTTAACATGCTTTATTGTCGGACGATCTGGCGGTACGCCGGTCCTCAATACTCATCGGTATTCCTAACTGCGGTCAAAAGTCATGCGTTAGTTATAAGTGGGTGAGATCCTACGATGCGCTAACAGTCGTGGCTTGGATGGCGGCTACCTGGCGGTTAACAAGGTCCTCTCAGGACTGAGAGTCAGGCTATAATGGCCCTTTCTTCATGTGCTTATGTCACACTCTCACTCAGATGGAGTCGATCCACCACTAGTTCTTAAGGGAACCTGGTTCATTGTTCATTGAGTAGTTCGCGTGTGGCACTCGTAGGCAGGCTGTTTTGCTTTGCCAGCCAATGCGCTTGATCCAGCCTTTGATCGTCCTGACTCTGTGCTGCCAGCGGGTTCGGGTGGCTGAAGAAGAGGGGAGAAGTGCAGCAGACGTTGCGCAAGTCTGTTAGCACTATAAAATAATTCACATGCAAGTCACTGCTGCTGTGCTCACTCCGCAGAGCACGCGGTTGATATCGTTTTTCACAATCGTACCGGCCAAATGCCGGTGAAAAGTCATGCGTCCACTACACTGGGGGTGGGGCATCGTCGCGGCGGCTGTCGTCGTTCTCTACAGTCCGCACCAGTCCGATCTGGTAATAGGAGACTGAGTGAAGGTGCCAGTGTTTGCACTGGCTTTACCTGTCGTCCTACGTAATTGCCATTTAGGCGGGTTGTATAGTGACACTGTTTAATCCTTGCCTATTGCAAAAAAATCGTTCGTATTACCTCGAGCGACTTCTTCTAGAATTGGCCAGGCTCAGCGTATTGAGGCAGGTCAATGTAATGTTGGATGAATGAACATTTCACAATCTTAAAAAATCCCACAATTATAAACTCTCTGAAAACCAGCAAATACTCTCTCTTCAAGTGGAAACTTTAGAAAAGACACAATTTTCTGCCAAATGAGTACAAGAAAGGATATTTTTGTCCACGTTTTCTACAAAATACAATTTAATTTATAAATCACCAAAAGTTAATGCGAAAAATTAATATTACTTAAGTAGTCGTTTTACATAGTTTATTTCTTACAGACGGTTGAGAAGAAGCTCGTTCAAAAGCCAGGATCCCGGTTTGACTGAAATTCCTTAGGACTGTGTCGTTTGATTATTAATCTTACAACCCTACTTAAGTAATCTCTACGAAATTAAGACATATGCCAGAATTTCGGCTAAAATCTCACGAGATAACCCATCTACTGTATATACGTGGAACTGTCTAAATGCCGTTACCTGTATTGACTATTGCAAATGTTGATTCAGCCGGCCACAGAGTCCGAAACTTCACCACTTACTGCAGCCTATGTCCGGCGACTGCCAGTTAGATCGTAGATAATCGTTGCTTGGTTGGATTCGGGCTCCGAACACAGGACGTTGTCAGATTCGGAAACTTTCCGTAAGTTGCTTGATAATATCTGTCCAGGGCAGAGTGTTTATTAACCACCGGTCACCTACAGATTGCTTGTTCCGACAATAAAAGCAACTGATGAAATGCATTCAATCCATATTCGTGGAGTCTTGGGATAGTCGGTCCATCTTATTTGATATGAACCTATCCTGGATGTGAAATATGACCTGCATTTTGATTACCGTTATGTTTCGGTGTCGGATTTAGGAACAGGATGATATTGTGCTTCGTGAGTCTTGCAATGCATTTGCTTATTTCCATTTGCAGTAAAGCCGAACCTTCTGCATATGGACGGGCTTCCAAATCAATCTTACAGTGAACACATTGAGACATAGCTTTTGCCAAGATGTTAGCCGTTTCGTCGGCACGAAACTTCTAGATCATCGTAATTTCTAATCTTTCGTGAGGGAGACCGTGGGAAGAGAGAATTATTAATGTAATCCTCGAGCCCTCCTATCAGATCCTTTCGAATTCTGTGTCATGGCAGGATTACCACGATTAATTACATTTTGCAGACTGGGTAAATAACTATTCTCCGACCTCCTTGCCGACTTCCCCTCCCAAATACATAAGATTTTACACCTCGGGATAGTAGTATCATTAATTTCTTTGTTGCCTTTAATATAATCTGATCCTTACCTTCCCCTTATTTGGGAGGCATCAGCACTACAATTCTTAAGGTGAGTCCTGTAAACGAATAAGAATTCATTTGGTTCGCAAGGGGTTAAAAGGTTAGAAATATGCGTGCATTTCGAGTGAGCCAATGCATTCTGCCGAGTATCACTGAAACTGAAAACCTGAGTACATAACGAACAGCCTCTCCGTTCCGACAAGTTATTCCACCCTCTTAAAATACTGACCACTGTAATATTATAAGACTTTATATATCTTAAAATTATTGGTATAGGTTCCTTTGAAAATTCGGAAAAGAGAACGGTCGCCATTTTAATATAACATGGCGTGCGTTATTTTTCCGATCGTTCTCTGCGTTAGAGAGTAATTTCACAAAAAATGGGATAGAAGATGTTTATACGCTTTTTACGTAGTTATATTTTATAGTTAACTCACAGACAACACGAGCTGCATTAATCTATATGACATCGGCAGACCGTTTTCTAAATTACGATCATGAAAAGTTAATAGTTGGCCCTTCCCCTCTTCTAGCGATGACAAAGTCAGCGAGACACTGGACGGACCCTGATATCCGAAATCAGTAGCGTGAACTGAAATTCTCACTTGCTAGTGTTAGGGTAAGTCGTTTGGGCATATGGCGTGTGCAGCTGAAGTTCGCCTCTCCTATCTAAAGGACTTGTGACGGGAGGATTCACAATCACATAAAGTATATTGTTAACTGTCGTAAACGTTCAATTTTGAACACCTCCACGCTGTAAAGCAGTAGAAATTCTGCAATGTCCCGAGACTGCTCTGCTCCCTGTCTACGACGCAGTTATCAGAAGACTTCCATGACTTTGTCTTTACTTGGTATTTTTTAATCTGCCAATCTATTATAATTGTTGTCTTTTTTCTCTAGCGTATTTAGCAATTTCCCAATTTTTACATCTGTACATACAGACTCCGCATCGAAAAAATAAGATCGATATTTGGTCTGAATCGTCGTTGCATCACTCAGGCAGAGTTGTATTGACTATTTGGCTTGGCTATGATAAATATGTGTTGGTAAGACATTGTCATCTTGTTTCGTTGCAGGTGTTTATAATGACTTTTGGCAGATTCTCTTTTTAACACCTAAAAACGAACGTACCTAGATCATTTCCCATGGTTACTAGATGCACTTTCCCGGCAACCTAAACTCGGGAAGGCTGAAAAGTTTCCAGGTGCGTTTTACAGCTGTCATCCTTGTACTTCTGAATTTCTGCACTTTCATTCGTTGGTGAAAAGTAACATTCTGAGTTTCCACTGGTAAGCATCCTAGGGATTTTGGCAGCATGGATTGTGGGAATTGGCATGCCCGGACGAATTTTGGTGCTGCATTCCAACAAAATTTTCGGGCCTGTTTTCAAAGACCATCCTCCAACAATGTAAGCGTCGCAAAAGGAACCGAGTGTTTTTAGGGCAATAGGGTATTCCAAAACACCGATTTCACACAATTCAATTGTTGCGGCACAAATGGATCTTCCGAAAATTGTTGCCAAGCCTCAGAGAAGTGGCGGAAAACTCCAGATTCCGGTAACCGGTTTCCTCGATGTTCTGCCGACGACTGGTTTGCAAAATTCTAGTATTAAAATGCATTACCAAAAGATAGCTTAAGTGTTGGTTGGATTTTATTAGACTAGATATATTTTGATGGGATTGGTCTTAGGAGTAAACAGCTGACCTTTGGGAGGAAAGCTTTAGAGAAGGTAGACCCTTAAGGTGTGGAAAAACCAGATCAAGTCTGTGCGACCAATCATGTTTTAAACCGAAGTCAGTTCGTTTTCCCTTTTGTATTTTACTTGGCCATGCCACTCAGAAGGGATTGCCTAAAGCAAAATAAATGGGTCCGAGAAGGAATCGTGAAGGAAAGGCGTCACTTTCTTTTTCCTCCCATCGACAAAACAGTCTGACTCAAGGTTGACCTGTTCGCCATTTGTGACTTTAAAATTCCACAAATCAATGTGTGGCACTTACAATTAAGATCAAGGGACAGGCACCGAGTTCACGGCATGATAGTGGTTTGGTCCACTTGCCTTTTGATGGACACTAAATTTCAAACTTTCCATCACTGGAAAGTCTTATAAAGCTACGGACCTTTTATTTCAACATCCGACTAATTGTCCGACAACATCAGGAATAATTTCGTGTACTGTTCTAT